AACCCGACGTGGAAACACTCTCCAGTAGGATCGTAAGTGCATTCGTCATTGGAGTCGGAGTAGCCGAAGCAGTAGTCGCTTGCGGCCAAGAAGCGGCGCATAGCCTCAGGGTCGCGAAGCCCGAAGAAGTCGGCTCCGACCCACGCCTCGCCCTCCTCCGAGGAGTCAGTGTGGGTGTGGGTCGAGGTTGTGGTGGAGAAGTCGAGGGTGAATCGTTGGTGGCGTCCCGAGGGCTCCGCATGCGCGGAGGCGTAGGCGAAAGCGTAGGTGGCGTCGATGTTGTTCAGCCCAAAGTGATACAGGGATGGTGCCACCTCTGGGGTCCGCTCCGCCTGAGTTGATTCCTCAGGATGTGGCGGGGCAGAGCTTGATGACGGGACATTGCTGCATGCTACCGGCGTCTTTCCCTTGCCCAGGATTAAGCTAGACAGGTCCCCAGCCAAGGACTCTGTACCAACAGCCGGGCATGGGATGCAAGCGGAGTGCGGCGCGCCACCCTAAGCTCATGCGGTGTCAGGGTAGTCCCGCTCGCGTCGTGCCTGGCGAGCGCGACGAGAGCGGCGGCCCGGGCGCCGCCTGCGCCCGGGCTACGGATGCGTGACATCGTCGTCGGCTGGTGGGGCTCTGGGTGCGAGGAGTACCATATCGTACCCATATCCTAGAGACATGAACTCTAGGCTCCCAAACTAGACCACCGTGCCAAGACGTAGTGGGCGTATGGGGTCAGCCATCCGGAACTTGTTGGGACGATCAAGCTAACACGCAGAGGCCCCTACCTGGCGCACCAACTGTCGGCGTTTCGGACCGGGGGGTCCTCAACCAACTAGTAAATGTGAACTACGTGCCCCTAATCCCGGATGGTGATGCAAAGAGACACAAGGTTTATACTAGTTCAGGCAATCGGTGCCCTACGTCCAGCCTGAGAGATCGATCTTGTATTCCTTGCACCGAAGTGCTTGTAGTAGGGGGTTACAAACTGGGTGAGAGAGGAAGCTAGTCTCAAGTCTCGGCGTGGAACGGTGCGGTCTGCTTGAGACATTGCTCTCAGGCAGCTTGGGAGAGCGTGTGTCTACGTGAGCCTATCTCCGTGAGCTCGTGAGTGCCTTTCTCCCTCAAGAACGGCCCCGGTCTCCCCTTTTATAGTTGAAGGAGGGACAGGGGTGATACATGTGTTCGCCATGCGGCGAGCGGAGGTGGCGTGCCGGAGTCCTATAGCTTACAACTGTAGCGGCATGGTCAACGGAGTGGTCTTGTCCTTGATGTACTGGAGCAACGCGCCGGTCACACCCAATCTCGTATGACGTGGGCGCTCCAGTGACAGCTTGACGCAGGGTATGGCCAATGGTGTGCTGGTCGCTATGGGTTGACGGTGAAAAGAGCCGAGGCTCAGTTGGTGCCGAGGCCGAGCCATCATGGGGGGGCTCGGTGGGCGCGAATCCTGAGGCTGCCAAGACCTGGAAGTGGATTGCCGAGGCCTTGGAGGGAGCAGTTGGTCTCATGCACCGATTCCAAGGCTACAGTGACCCGTGCCTGCTTCCCCACGCCGTGCTGCTCCTGGAGCAAGAATTAGGTAGCATAGTGTAGTATGGGCGCCAGGCATGGGTGCAGTGCTGAGCACAATGGCCAGTAACCCCTGTTCCGTCCTATCTCACGTCCCGTCGGCCACCTTGCTGTACTGCGCCCACGTGCGGCTGACGTCGCAGGAGTGGTTGGACGCGTGACGTTTTGTTAGAGAAGTCGGTCGAGGCGGAGGCGACGAGGTTGTTGCCGAGCCGGCCTCGAGCGAGTCGGAGAATCGGTACTTCGTCCGAGGCTTCACTCGCGGGGCCTCGGGTGAATCGGAGAATCGGTAACCCGTCCGAGGCCTTGCGGGGCGGGGCCTCGGCACGAGAGGGCCTCGGCGAGGCGGAGAGTCGTTGCGGCGCGGGCTTCGAGCGAGTCGGAGAATCGGTCGAGACCCTGTGATTGTCCTTTGGCTTTGATATTTGCGAGGTTTTAAGCAATCTTTTCGGTTCTTGCTTAGGGTACCCCTTTTTATGGTATCCGACACGTTTCTTTTCTGTTCTTTTTCACTTTTTTCTAGTTTGTCCATTTTTACTTGCTCCGAGTACGTGTTGCTTTACGTTTAATAATAAAGAGGCAAAATTTTTCTCCACCTATTTTTTAGTCCGGCCATTACTTAACTAACTTTGTGAATATGAAAAACCGTATATAGCCCTTCTCTTTATATAAATAGAAATCTTAATCCAATTAGATCTCTCCGATTTCGGGTGAATATGAATCTTAATCCAAACAGGAAAAATATAATAATATGGACAACTAAGAATCTTAATCCAATTAGATCTCTCCAACTTTAAGTAACCAAAATAGGAATCTTAATCCAAATACAAAAATATAATAATAGAAATTAGAAATCTAATAAAGAGGAAAGAATGGTAGAATTTCTTTGTTTCGTTTCTTTTCAGTTCTTTTTCTATTTTTCTGGTTTGTCCATTTTTACTTGCTTTGAGTATGTGTTGCTTTACGTTTATTTGCTGTGAATATGTTCTAATTTTTTTCCGTGGCTATTTTCTAGAGGACATTACATTTTTTGTCATGACTGTTTTTTACTTGGCTTCGAGTATGCTCATAATTTTTTCTCGTGGATGTTTTGACACTAGCTCGATTTTTCTGATTTTGTTTTCATTGTTTTCTCCACCTGGTTTTTTCATGTTCTAATAAATATAATAAGAGTAAAAACAAACAATAAATAAGAAATCGCAACAATTTTTATCTTTGACTCCTTAGCAAACAAAGATTTTTTACTACAAAGTTAATTTAATTTTTGACTCGAATTCATGACCTGTGCTACAGCTCACTATATATTGGATCCCGTTGCAATGCGCGTGCATGTTTGTTAGTATACACTAATGTCTAAAACATCAAATTGTACACAAAATTGCTGAAGTGTGGGATATAGGAAAAAAAAAAGCGGTATAATATCGTCGGGGATTTTTTTTTGACTGAAAACGACAAATTACTAAAACGGTCAGGTAGAAACTACTACTATCATTCCTATATGAGATAATTATGTATTTGACACTGAAATAAATCAGTTTTTCGTATTTGGTATTTAAAAATTTGAACTTTCTTATCTGGCACTAAGTTAAAATTTCCTTCCCTATATAGCACTACCGTCCATTTCATCCAGTCATCTATTAGTTGATTATTTTGACCGTGTTAATTTTTTCTTAGTATGACCAACATATCCTCTGTCACTCACGCATCCAATTTCTTCTCGGGCTTTCTGAGCCGAGCTGCTCACCTTTTGCTGGAACTTTGTTTCCTCTTGTTCCCGCATGAACTCCCCGACTGCTGTGGCCTCGCACCGTCCGACCCGGCGCTCACATCCAACGCCGACATCGCGCTCGACAGCTTGGTCAGGACGCCGTCGATCTCCAGCTGTGCCCACGCCGCGCGCTGGTCGTCCAGCTGCAGCAGGAAGTTCCTGAGCCTCGCCGCGCCGTCGCGCGCCTCGGTCAGATCGTTCCGCGCCACGGCCGCCCTTGCCGCCGCACGTCGCTGCCCGACGACGCCATCGATCGATCCTATAGTCCCTAGACCACCATGCCGTCGATCTAGAAAACCCACAGTTGGCGAGCTGCTTCGTGCTCGGGCTGTTGTTATACCTAGACACGCACTGCACACTAGCTCCTCTCTGCGAGCGAGGTAGAAAGATGCGAGGAAATAACTTGCGGTGCCTGCTAATTGTGCGCTGTTCTTAATTTACCCCGTGGTTGTCTGGGAGGGAAAAAAGCGGTGTGGAAAGGTTGAAAAGAGTGAGGGGAGGAAGCTGCATGGAAGGAACTAAAGCATGGGAGTCAGCGGAGCCTGGTGCCGGACTGCCGGCGGATTGGCCAATGGCCATCACCGATGGATACCCAGAGGGGGGAAAGGATGCCACCAGTCTACCGGACCGACCGAACTGCTGCTAGCTCAGTGCGGGGCACGGAGCCGTCATCGCGATGACACAGGCAGCGTGAGATCACGCACACGCATGGTCTTTGACCGGAGGGTCACCGGGTCTCGCAGGCAATGCCTGGGCAATTTCTCCGATGACCGTCCCTCTGTTATTTTGCTATTTGGCATTACGTATTTCTGCTATAAAGGAGAGTATTCATGTCATTTTATCAGCCACTTGATGTCGTTAGTAGCCTAAATGGACGGCAGTGCTATATAGGGAAGAAAATTTCAACTTAGATGCAAAATAAGAAAGTTCAATTTTTTTAGTGTCAAATACAGAAAACTAATTTGTTTCAGTACCAAATACATAATTCTCCCTTCCTATATTTGCAGTTTGCATCTCCATTTGCCCTATAAAAAACGATAAACCCTCGGAAACGAGCCACATCAATCGATTTGTTCCATTTCGGCTTTCAACTGAGGCCTTGTTTAGATGCCCTCAAAATTCCAAGTTTTTTCACTCTCTCTCCGTCACATCAATTTTTAGCCGTTTGCATGGAGCATTAAATGTAGATAAAAAAAATAACTAATTGCATAGTTTAGTTGGAAATCACGAGATGAATCTTTTGAGCTTAGTTGGTCCACGATTGGACAATATTTACCAAATAAGACGAAAATGCTACTATTCATCAGGTTGAATTTTTTTTCAATCTAAACAAGGCCTGAGCTAGAGATACTATGCTCCCTGCAATCTGTGCAACAGTGATCCAGAGCTCTTTGTATCCTCATCTGCCTGCTTTTGTTTACATATGCATGCCCAGCATAAGCTACCTGCTATATGGACTGTGTTATAGTACATCTTGGCGATATTATATATTGACGAGCTATTGACGACATTATATATTGATTGACGAGCTTTCAGAGTGGGAGCAGTTGAAGTGAGTGGGAGAATGAAAACAGAGACGGCAATCCGTGACTAGGACTTGCAATTGCAGCCAACCAATATCAGACGAGCAGCCTGCGTGTCTGCAGGTCCATCAACTCGGCGGCGAGGCGAGATGGCGTCGTCGTCCAAGAAGGTGTGCGTGGTGGGCGCCGGCGTCTCAGGGCTGGTATCCGCCCGCGAGCTCCTCCGCGAGGGTCACGACGTGACGGTCATGGAGCAGAGCAGCGGCGTCGGCGGGCAGTGGCTGTACGACCCGAGGACCGACGCCGGCGACCCCCTGGGCGTGGCCGGCGTGGCGAGCAGCATCTACGCCTCTATCCGGCTCAACACGCCCAGGGAGAGTATGGGCTTCTCCGACTTCCCCTTCGTCTACCCCAGCACCGGCGGCGACGCGCGGCGGTACCCGGGGCACGCCGAGTTCCTGAGGTACATCAGGGGCTTCTGCGACGCGTTCGGGCTCATGGACGTCGTCAGGCTCAACACCAAGGTCCTGGACGTCGGCCTGCTGGCGCCGCGCGGCCACGACGACGACGGCGGCACGCGGTGGACGGTGAGGTGCTCGTCGAGACGTGGTGACTGTGAGGGCGAGGTGGTCACCACGGAGGAGACGTTCGACGCCGTCGTCGTCGCCATCGGCCAATTCACCCAGCCAAGGCTCCCTACAATCAACGGTAGGTTCTGAACAATCGTTACATGTCATGAAGTACACTAATTGAGGCTGAGTTTGTGTTCTTGGTCAACTGAGCTGCTGCTGCTGCTAGGATAGGCATGGACAAGTGGAGCAGGAGGCAGCTGCACTCCCACTCGTACCGGGCCCCGGACTCGTTCCAGGACCAAGTGGTGGTGGTCGTCGGATGCCAATCGAGCGGCGTGGACATCGCGCTTGAGCTCTGCACGGTGGCGAGAGACGTGCACATCAGCGTCAAGTCCGTGGACGACGACGGCGCCATCTTCCCCGGCATGAGGAAAGCTGTGTCCAGGCGCCACAACCTGCACCTGCACCTCCAGATCGAGTGCTTGTGTGAGGATGGGCAGGTAACGTTCGCCGACGGCTCGTGTGTCGTCGCCGACTCCATCATCTCCTGCACTGGGTACGACTACTCGTTCCCGTTCCTGGACACGGGAGGTTTGGTCACCGTCGACGACAACCGCGTCGGCCCGCTGTTCGAGCACACGTTTCCGCCGGCGCTGGCGCCGTCGCTGTCCTTCGTCGGCATACCCAAGAGGGTGGTGGTGCCGCGGTTCTACGAGACGCAGGCGAGGTGGGTGGCGCAGGTGCTGTCAGGCCGGAGGACGCTGCCGTCGTCGGAGGAGATGATGCGCTGGGCCGAGGAGTACCACCGCGCCAGGGAGATGGCCGGCATGCCCAAGCGCTTCACGCATGTCCTCGACGACTATGACTGCTGCGACGAGTTCGGGGAGAAGCACTGCGGGTTTCCTCGGCTGGAGAGCTGGAAGAAGGAGCTCCGGTGGGCGTCCATCGCAAGACAAAGGGGTGATGGCTCGGAGACCTTCCGTGACGTCTACCACGACAGCGACTTGGTTCGGGAGGGCTTGCAGGCACAGGGCTGGCCGGCTGGCTCACAGCAACACAAGTAGCAGAAAATGTACTGCGAATACGATAGGGTTTGTTTTAGAAGTAAATCTTTAATCTACGTGGTGAGAAAATAGCTTTTCACACCAAACGTGCAATCTGCCAAAGATATTTTCAAAAAGGATTTGAGGATTCTTTCCCTGAGGGTTAAGACTAGGTTCTCTTAAACTTTTGATCTATGGATCCAAAGTCTAATTTCTCTACTTGTTCTTCTTTTCTTTATCTCTTTCTTTGTTTCTTGATTTCTGTCTTTGCTTGAATGGATTTTGCTCATTTATTTTTTTTAATAAAATCTCTGTAGGGGCTTAGACCCCTCCAGTTTCATAAAAAAAAGAACATAGCTTTTTCAGATAAAAGGATCCGAAGTGGTTTTCTCATGAATAGTAGAGGATCCGAAACCGTTTTTAAGTATGGAGTCAGAGCTGCAGTGACTCCTCCTCAAATGCTCCGGCTCCTCTGGAGGAGCACTCGAAAAGGAGGGATACCCCTTCTAAACTATAAGATGTTTTATACGTTATTTTTATTACGTATCTAGTAGATATATTATATATCCAAGTGCATAGAAAAAGTCTATGTATCTAGAGAAGCCAAAACTTCTTTTAATTTAAAATGGAGGGAGTACTTGATAAGACATTTAAACCATATAAATTATCTCTAAGCTTGTAAAAATTCAAAGAAAAATCATAGAGATAGATTGAGATATGAAGAGTTCAAATAAAATATTTAGAACTCATGAAAATATATGTAGAAGCTAAAAAATAGATTTAGCTCTAGAAAAATAAGAAAATATCCAACAAAAATCTAGAAAATTCCCAAAACATTATAAATTGATGTATAAACGTGTTTTTTAAACTTTGCATGACAAAAATATGAGATATAACTAGCATGAATGCAACATACATTAATGTTGAATGCATTCATGCTAGTTGTGTCTTATGTTTTTTCATGGTGTAAAGTTTCAAACATGTTTTTTTAGAGTTGGAGGGAAAAAAACGTCTCGGCCTTCCAACTGTATAGCCAAAAGACCAAAAGTCATTTACAACACCAGTTTGAAGCCAAACGAAGCCTCACTCCACCACAGGAGGACAAGCCACAGAAAACAATCTAACACCATACAAGGTTCACATGAATTAAAAGGTGAAGCAAAACATCTGACCCCCTGTGGCCAACAAGCATCAGAACTCTGACCGGTATCAGTTGACATTTCTTAGCATCACTCTTTACTAAGTGGTCATCCCTAGCATGATGCCAGAAATGAGTGGTTGGTAATTATTAATGACACTTGTAAACTCAGAGAAAATTATATATGTTAAAGTAAAGTATTCGCAAGCGCACAGATAATATACTATTGTAGCATTTCACCAGGAAGTATACCGAGTATCGTTATTTATATTTTATCTACAGAGAGAAGCTATGGGATTGTTGGCATAGAGATATTGACAAATATGTATACTTATGATAAAACCACTCTCATGCTATGGCAGGGGTAAGTCAAATGATAAATAAATGATAAGTGGGAAGCATTGATAATAATTTCAGAGATAGAAATAGAGACTCATAAAATGTAGTATGGCTAGGCAGGAGATTAGGTAAGAGCAAAAGATTTCTAAGTCATTTCTTATTTACAAAGTCTTTTGTACACCCAAGTATATATACTCTCATCTATAGCATAATTAACTCTGGATCTATGCATAAGGAACATTACTAAGGAAGATCAAGAACAAACCTTGTCTCCCTCGCAACCGTGTTCTACTTGCTCTACAAACGGGGAGTGGACTACAAAGGACTCAACGAGAGTGTCACATCCGCGATCTACCACATGACCCAGAGTGCAGAATGCATCCACAGGTAAACAATATCTAAGCACCATGCTTACATAATGTCGACCACTTAACCCATGCACATCTTGAGCTAAGCGCTTTGCGAACATATGCATAAACTCATCATCAATCACAACTATATCAAGTATATAACTAGAGCAAACTTGGAACATAATAAATAGCAACATAATATTGAAGTAGCATAAAGTCATAAATAAAGAGATACAATGGCTATATCAGTCTCCAGATGGCAGATCTAGAATCCTGAGCAACAGCCCACACTCTACTTGAACCTTACTAGCTAGCGTATACTAGAACTTTGAAGAATTGGAGCTCTATTCTCTTCTCTCTGGAAACCATAGTTTCTGATCTACTCTTGACTTATGGCAGCGTGCACTAGAGGGGGGGCAGGGGCTGGTTATATAGGCCAGAGTGTCAATCCTGAGCCCTTAGATCAAACCGACTTGAATAAATGGTGTAGATACAATGTAGGAGGCAGTGGAGAACTGATGTAGTGACGAGGGCTGACATGTGGGCCCTAGGGGGTCGGCCAGCCCACATGTCATCCCCTTGGGGCCTGCCTTGGGGGATGCCTTTTGGTGGCCTCTGGGACCTTCTAGAGTAGTTTTCGCCGCGGATAAGCGTAATTTTATTTGACGTTTTGATCCCTCTTGCCGGTTTTCTGGAATAACTCTGCTAAAAACACAGATTCACCAAAACTTGTTAAAATTGTCAATTTAAACCCCTAAGTCTATGTTGGTGATCCTTTTTATGCATTTATTCAAGTTATGTTGACGATTTATGATGAATGATAACTACCGTCAACAAACTCCTCCAAGCTTAACCTTTTCTTGTCCCTGCGCAAAGCAAAACTTAACAATGGATCAGGAGCTGCTGCGATGTTTTCACTCCTCAAAAGTACACATGCACTCAACAAACAATTCTCCTCCAGATTAAAATCCACTAATCTGACTTTCAAACTTACCTATATTACCGTCAACTATGGGGCTTTTGTGCTTTCACTTGGGTGTTGAGCAATTGAAAGACAAAATGATCAAGTCAAGCACTATGTCTCATGTTCTTTGTTCAACTATTATTCCAGAGTTTTTGCAAGTTTTCAAAATAAAACGTAGAGATTCCATTGTATGACACTCTCAAGTCTCTCATATATGTGGTATTTGTGGATCCTTACCAAGACAATAGTGATGTTATACCTTTTCTTCTTCTACAACTAAGGCTTATATGGATCTCATAGGAGTGGTAAATGTATGAGAGAGCATACTTGCGATACATATATTGTAAAGTCAAACAATGGATTTAAAGAGAGTTGAGTCATACAATCAAATCAAGATATGCATTTCTGTGGAATATGGTGGATATAAATATGGTGGCTAGCCTAATTCTACTTTGCTCCTCAAAACATATCCCTCCTTTGAAACTTGGAAACTTTTGCTAGAGAGCAGGGGTTATCTTATTTATTTCTTTCTTTTTTAGGCCAACATTTGAGTACCCATTATTTTAAATATCTCGAACACTTTTATGTTCATTTTTTCTCAACTTTTATTTTTCTTTTATGAGTAACTTTTGCATAGCCCCATGTCTCTTTTCTGCAACAAAACTTTTGAGAGATAACGACAAAAACTTGGACCATTTATTTGGTGGAAAACCTATCAAGCATGTTTTTGGAGTTTTCTCCTAGTGTAGGAGTAAAACATTTTTGGGTGGTGTGTACGTGATCTTGATTTTAAGAGCATAACAAAACTCTCATAAGGCATCAACAAAGCTTGACCAAACTCAATGCAATTGTCACACCCGATTTTAAGGATAAAATGGGATGCAAAATCTTATGTGCGCCCAGAGATCAGTCACACACATAAGCTGACAAATTATAAATAGTATCATCATAAGTGTTTATTACATCACAAATATTAAGACAGAGTCTTTACATAGATATAGTGGAAGTATAATGAAAAGATCTCTCGCGGAAGCTCCATTTCACTGGGACGTCGACTGGTTGACCACAAGTCTAGAAGTCCTCAGGAAAATCATCATACCCATAGCCATCTGCTACCCATCCGGGATTTTTATCCAAATAATGAAAATAAACAAGCGTAAGTACATGTCGTACTCAACAAGTGTAATATGAGGTTCATGAGGCTCAAAAGGCTTGACACAGGTTTAACAGCATTCAGCTTTTAGTTGTCATAATTTTAGCTTAAGAGTAGCAACAAATTGTTTCAATTCCCAATGTAAAACACATGATCAATGTAAACATAAATAATGAATAGCATAAACAAATAGTTTTTAGTGTTAATCTATTCCATAAGGGTTCTAAGGCCGCTCAAGACCGTGAGCACGGCTGTTATAATAGTTTTACACTCTACAGAGGTTGTACACTTTCACTGTGAGTCGTGATACCCATATGCCCAGGTTTGCAACTCCCAAAACACTTCCAAGGTGTGCAGGCAGGGGTCACTATGAAGCCTTTCAAAGGTTCATCTAACAAGTTAGGGCCATTAGATTCACTCGGCAAACAGATATAGGAACTCCCCTGTCGAATGGCACAATTCCATCGTGGCTATACACATAAAAGTAGAGGCTGTCCTATACCCGATTCGGCAAGCCATTCTTACACCAATAAAGGTAACCACTTACAAGCTAGAAAAGGTCCTCATACTGAGCTAAAGCCATAGCCATATAGCCCTCACAGCTGTACTGTAAGTTCCAGATGACCACTTACCGTTAAGTCCTTAGGGAGAGGAATCTGAAGCATTTAGAAAGTAGCTAAATACTCCAGCCCCCTGTTTCCAAGTTGCTAAAAAGTCATATTTTAATGTTTATTGCATATACCATTAGTCAAGTTACAAGATCATGGTTTAATTGAGCACTAGCAAAACTACCCAATGCATAACCCGTAGGTGATAAAGTAAAAGTTCAATTCTAGGGAATCCCTATCAAGGTGACACATGCAACATGAATTTAATGAATTAAAGTGAATAGGAAACAAAGATGATCCCATACCTATACTGGCCTTGAGCAAAGTACTCCTGCTAGTCCTGCACGTCAAAGTAGTACCCTTGATCTCCACGAATTGCTCACCATCTATACTCGATAACCACAACAACATACAAGCATCCAGGAGCAATCATGCATAGCAAACAAAAGCTATAGATTAGAACAATACA